CTCCTCCCTCCTCCCTCCTCCCTCCTCCCTCCTCCCTCCTCTTCCCCTCCTCCGCCTCTGGGGACCTCAACAAGCACCAGCTTGTCGTCCTGAGTCGTTCTGTGACGGTCGCGGGGCCCGCGGCGGGCCCAGGGGCCCCAGCAGCGGCGAGAAGCCTGAGCACCCGCCTCCTTCGGGGCCCGCTTGCTTCGTGGCGGCCCTCGCGACGAGCGAGGTCCCCGAGGCCCTCGCGACGAGCGAGGACCCGCTTCCTTCAGGACCCGCTTGCTTCACGGCGGCCCCTTCTGACGCGGAGCTTCAGGGGAGGACCGGCTCGGGGGGGAGGCGTCGAGCAGGAGCCGGCGGCACGTGGCCGACAGATCGGCGACGGGCCCCCGAGGGCGAGTCCGCACGCTTCCGGGCGGGGTGGGGCTGTCGGGCCTCCATCGGCGGTGAGTGGGTGGCTGGGGGGGTCGGTGCGTTCCCCCGAGAGCCTACCCCCCTCTGACGTTGCCCCTGCACCCACCGCCTGCCGGGGCCCCCGAAGGTCGCCGCGGGCGGCGGTCATGGACACAACCCCGCCTCGCAGCTTGCGTCATGGCAACCCTTCCTCCCTCCATCCTGCGTGGAGGGAGGGACAACGAGGACCATGGCCAAGATATCGCGGGATCTTGTCCATGCCGACCTTGGTCACGGTCCATGTCGGCCGTCGCCGATTCGCGAGGATGACGGCACGAATTGACGCTGACCAAGATCGACGCTGACCAAAATCGGCACGACGTTTTCGCGTGCATTCTTGGTCATGGTCCCCTGCTTCTTTTCCTCCACTACGCGCGGGATCCCCCTTCTCCCCCTCCGTCTTCTGAGGTCAGCGAGGATCGATCCCCTGGGCTGTGGTTATAGATATAAGATTAGATCGGGTATGTCCTCCTACGTGGATCTTGGAAATGCCCTGCGGCGTACCCAACCCTTTCTACACATGTGCCGATTAAATTCAGGACCGCTCAATGCAAGCCCCCCAGGGGGCGGCGAGGTCTCGAGGTGGTCCGCGTGGGACGTACCTCCGCTGGGCCTCTCAGGGGCCCACGAAAGTGGCGACAGTTGCGCAGATGGCAAGCCCCCCAGGGCGCGGCGAGGGGCGCGGCGAGGTCTCGAGGTGGTCCGCGTGGGACGAACCTCCGCTGGGCCTCCCAGGAGGCCACGAAAGTGGCGAAGTTACGCAGATGGCAAGCCCCCCAGGGGGCGGCGAGGTCTCGAGGTGGTCCGCGTTGGACGTACCTCCGCTGGGCTTTCCAGGAGCCCACGAAAGTGGCGACAGTTGCGCAGATCGCAAGCCCCCCAGGGCGCGGCGAGGGGCGCGGCGAGGTCTCGAGGTGGTCCGCGTTGGACGTACCTCCGCTGGGCCTCCCTGGAGCCCACGAAAGTGGCGACAGTTGCGCAGATCGCAGCCCGACGGCACGAGAGAAGAGGAGAGGGGAACACAGGAGACAGGAGAGGAGGAGGGGATGAGAGGGGAGGAGTAGGAGGAAGGGGCGACCACACTGCTCTATTCAAACTGAGTACCCAACACAGGAGGGTTGGGAAGAAAAAGTAAAAAGAGCCGAACATCATCAACAATATTCAGAAGAGCACGAACAATCGCCACCATACTATCTGTGATATGATTCCTCCCATCGAGGGACATGCCCGACTGACATCTAAAACCCCGCCCCGCGGTCTGCTCCATGGCGACTCCCCCACCCCTCGGACGGCGAACGAACCCCCCCCCCTCATTTGCATGAAAGAAGCCGGCCCTGCGGGAAACGGGCCCTGGACCCCAGGGCCGTCCCCCAGCACCAATTCTTCGTCCTGGGTTGTGTGACCCTTCCCTCCTCAGCATGGAAGAGACCGGTCCGGAGGGAAACGGGTCCTGGACCCCGGGGCCGTCCCCCAGCACAAGTCCTTCGTCCCATGTTGTCTTCTGCAGTTCCAGGGGCCCGTGGAGGGCCGCGGACAGCCCAAAACAGCGAAAAACCTTCGGACCCGGAGGAGGAGGAGGAGGAGGAGGAGGAGGAGGAGGAGGAGGAGGAGGAGGAGGAGGAGGAGGAGGAGGAGGAGGAGGGGGAGGGGGAGGAGGAGGAAGAGGAGGAGGAGGAGGAAGAGGAGGAGGAGGAGGAGCAGGAGGAGGAGGAGGAGGAGGAAGGACCCGCGTCCTTCACGGCGACTCCCCCCCTCATGGTTGCCGGGTCCTACCTCGGCCCTCGGGCGGTCGCTCTCAGGACGATCCGGGCACCCCAACAAGCGCCTCTCGGCGAGGCGCACCTCCTGGAAGGCACCCCGAGGCTAGAAGGAGACCGAGAAGCGGCGAAAGCGCCCGAAAGCCTCGAATCTCTCGGGCCTCGAACCTCCCCTCTGAGCCCATGCCCCTGCCCTCCGCGCGACCAGAGGCTTTCTCAGAAGGAGGCCGCTTCTTGATAGGCGCGGGCTCTACGTCTATAGACAAGGCCCGCGCCTTCTGAGAAGCAGGGGTGGCTCTAAGAAGCCTCCCCCACTCCGCCTACCCCCCTCAGCGCGCGGCTGACAAATAGCGAGCCTTAGTTTTTTGTCATAGCTCGAGGGAGTCTGGGATTTCGGAGGCCCGCCGAGGCCCCCGTCGGCGGGCCACTGGAGGCGAGGGCCTCTGTAAAGGGCCTCTAAAAGAGGCCGGGACTTGCCAGAAGCCTGTCGTCGCGGCTTGTGCTTCGATCCTCGCTCCTCGCTCCTCGAGGGCGACCCTCGAGGGGGTCTGTGAGACGAAGCCACGGCTAGGATTACATCGGGTGAGGATGAAGCGAGCATCTCTCAGATCGGGCGGCCCTGGATCGACGACCTCCCTGGCGCCCCGCCCCTTTTGGGGGGGGCCCATGTCGTGAGCAGTCGCGACGACGACGACGACGACGACGACGACGACGACGACGACGACGACGACGACGACGACGACGACGACGGCTGCGAGCCTGCTCGCCCGCGGCGCCCCCGCGGCCGCACGTACGCAGGGCGGGCAGCAGCCCCGCCGCGAGCGCCGCCGCCGGGCCGGCAGGGTCCGAGAGGAGGCACAGGGTCGCGAGCCTGTGGCCAGACAGGGAGGAAGGGGGAGGGGGAGCAGGAGGGGGAGGAGGAGGAGGAGGAGAAGGAGGAGGAGGAAGAGGAGGAAGAGGAGGAGGAGGAGGAGGAGGAGGAGGAGGAGAAGCTAAGGCACTGCTGGCGCGCCACGTGTCGCTAAGGCGCGGCTGGCGCCGGCGGCGAAATGCTGCAGGCGCGGGAGGCGGCGGCCCGGCCCGCTCGGATGATGCGTTCGAACTGCGAGGCGCCCACGGAGTCGAACTCCTTCGCTTCGTTGTAGATGTGGAATGCGACATTGATGTCGAAGATGGCCAGGTCGATCTGGCGATCGGTGGCTCTCACCTCCGGCATGGGCAGGCCCAGCTGGGCAAGAAGGCCGTCATCTCTCCAGTGCTCGGAACTCGCACGAAGCGCACCCTCCATGCGTGCGCAACCGTGAGGGTAGTGGTACTGAGAGTCCGTGGCCTGGCAGCCGAAGATGCAAGGGCGCGGTCCGAATAGGTGCATTCGCTCGCGAGTGGTCCAGCCGCCCGTCAGCGTCTTCAGCACAGGCCAGGCAACCGCGGGACTCTGGCGGCCCAGCCTTTGCCGCAGGCGGGCCCAGCGCTGCTCCAGATCAGGAGGCGGGCCGCACCATCCGGCCGGGAAGACGCGCGGCAGCCTCTTGCCGATGATGTGCGCGATGTCGTCGTGGAAGAGGCTATCGTGCAGGGAGTTGCGGCACTCGGCCTGGAAGCCGTCTTGGGAGCGCCGGTCGTCTGGGGGGCACCGGGCGCCCGGTGACCTTGTTGCCCTGCGGCCCGACTGCAAAAGGTCACCGGAGCAGCCGCGCGGGCGGCGAGTTCAGCACGGCGCGAATGCTCTCGCCACTTGCGGTCGCCGACCCTGTGCTCCACCACCTCGGCGAGCCACTGCACGGTCGCCTTCCCGTTGGCCCAGAAATCGGGGGACCACATGTGGTTGGACACGGCGTTCCTGTGTAGATAGAGCTCCGCGGCGTCCTTGAGCCTGTCCCAGTACACCCGCCACCCTGAGAGCGACTTTGAGGCAGCTCGGAAGGCCGTCGCGCGCGGGACGCATTGCAGCGAGTTCGGAGTGGAGCCGTTGAACCACCTCTTCATGCCAAAGAACATGTTCAACGCGAAAGTGTTTGGTGGAAGGCGCATCAGTCGGTGCAGCAGCCAGTGCTCCCGCGCGGCATGCGGCCGCCAGACCTCGAAGAAATGGGCGACGTAGGACATAGTGGGCAGCGCAGTGCTGTTGTAAAGCGCGATCGCGACCTGCATCGGTGCGCCAGCACGGCCGAGGGCAACGCCGCGGTCCGTCCACTTCGCGCACGGTTTGCGTCACTGGTCGAGGGCGGTGGCCCCGGGCCCCATCATCGCACCCAGGTACTTGGCCATGCTCTCCACCTTGATGCGCGTCCAGGCCGGCGCCGCGGCCGCCAGGCGCGAACGAATGGCGTCGCGCTCAGCCGCAGTGAACACGCCCCACAGCGGCACGGCCACGCACTTGGCAGGCTGTAGGGACAGCGTGGCCAGAGACCTGGCCGCCTCAAAGGGCGGGACCAAGGCTGCCCACTGGTGCAAGCTGGTCGTGATCGAACCCACGTCGTCAGCGCAGACGCCGAGGTCCAGGGAGTCGGATGGGTCGAGGTAATCGCTGCTGAATAGCTTGCGCGGCGGTTCCTCGCGCAGGGCGGCGCCCAGGTGGCGCGCGAACGGGCCCATGGCGATGGGCCGGGCGACGCCGCTCAAGGGGCACCCCTGCATGACACCGCTGGCAATGTCGAATAGATACTGCTCCACAGGGCCAAACCGCCCAAACGCTCGCGCCAGCGTGTAGAGGCCGTTCGCCACGTTGCGGAGGTGCTGCGGCATGCCGATCGCCTCGAAGCAGCACATAAGCCAGGTGCGTGCCATCCTCGGAAATGCGGCGCCGAAATCGAAGCTCGCGAACCGCGGTGCATGTTCCGCGCCAGAGCTGGACATGCCAGCCACCCTGGCCTTGGCGTCCATCCTCGGCAGATGGTTGAGGAAGGACCGGCCCGGAATGAAGCCCTGCTGCGCCGCGTGGCACTCGGCCGCCACCACGGGCTGGAGGCGCCAGGCAAGGGTCGCGGCGAGGAGCTTCGAGTCGGCGCTCATCAGGCTGAGGGGGCGGAGGTTGCCGGCGGCTCTGTAGCAGGCCGTGGCGTCGGCGGCCTCGTCGCCTTTCGGGGCAAAGGCGAATTCGGAGTAGTTGAAATCGAGGGGCGCCGCCTCCCCGTCCATTACCATCTGCAGCAATTCGAAGAGCAGCTCGTAGGCTCCGCCTGACAGTGCCCAGGCAGCATAGGGCAGCCTGTCTGGCCCGGGGGCTCGCGCGTCAGTCACCGTGCTGACGGTCGCGCTGTTGACGTCGTGCTGATCGGTGCCCTTTTTTGGTCTGTGAACCGACCGCAACAGGGCACCGGCGCCCTTTTTGCTCTGCGGGCCGGCCGCAAGAGGGCACCGAGTCGACTTTGATGCCAGCCAGCCTCTTGACGCGGCCCTTCCCCCCCCACAGCTGCATCTCCCGCTCGGCCTTAGCAGCGTCGCGCTGCCGGCGCTTGCGCTCGTCTGGGCGTCGGGCGGCGGCGGCCTGCCGGCCGGCGGCGCCCCGCTGCTGCGCGGCCCACTCGTGGTTCATATGGCACGTGACGCTGGCGAAGCTGATCGGGTCTTTGAATTTCGGGGCGCCCGCGGTCATGTCCACGTGCGCGCGGCCGAGCTCGGTGTCCAGCAGGCGGGCCCCGAGGCGCGCGTCCTTCCGCCATGCTGCGCGGCTGATGCTCCGCAGCGTGACCAGGTGCGCCCCCCTGGCCCCGCCGTGGGAGCTCGAGAGCGGTTGTCGCTGCAGTTCGCCGAGGGCCGACTGGGCAGCGAGAACCATCACTTGCTTCGCGCCCTCGAGTCTGGAGTAGACCGACCCCCTAGCCGCCGAGGACTCCACGAGCAGGGCGTTGTAATGGTCCTTGTGCAGCTGCGTGCTGAAGATGAAGCTCGGAATGGGCCTCTGTTGGACAGGGGCGACCACCTTGGGCGAGATGGAGAGGATGATCGGCGCGTGTTCGCTGAGCTTGCAGTCGCTGACCGTGGCGACGCCCTCGGCCGCGCGCATCGCCAAATTGTACTGCTCCGCCACGTGGGAGGCAATGCCGAGAAATATGCGGTCCAGAGTGGCGCTCGAATGGGACGCTCGACAGAAATGCGTCGGCAAGTCCGTGGAGATTCCGAGGGCTGTGTCGAAAAGAAGCTGCCACCAGCGCGGCTTGTACTGGTGCCTCGCGGACCTGTCTTCGAACGCGGCGTTCTCAGGGTTCATGTAATCCATGTTCGGGCCAGCGGAGAGGTTGAAGTCGCCTCCGATGATGGCCGCGTGCCGAGTCGGCTCGGCAGCCGCCCACGCAACCGTGCGGCGCCAGTGGCCGCCGATAGCGCGACGATCCTGGGCGCTGAGCTCGTGGTTATGGATGTTGGCCAGAAAGATGGAGGTGTGCTTCCTAGGATTCGTCACTCGGAGGGCGGCCGCACGGCCCGCAACGATCTCGGTGAAGTCGTAGTGCGGCCGCTCAGCTGCAGAAGTGCCAGATTGCTGTGCCACGCTGGCCATCGGCGTGAGGATTGCGACGCCCCCTGCTCCGGGCGCGGCGCACGACGAGATAAAGACCTTGTAGGGGTATGGCATGCTGCGGAGCTCGCGGGCGAGTTCCTCCTGCACGCCGTGGCACTCCTGCACAAGTATGTAAGAGTTGACTTGCACGTACTGCTTCAAAACTGCCAGCTTGCGATTGCGATGGCGGCGCCGCCTGTGGAGCAGGCCCCGGGATTTCCAGCTCACCACCTGGCACGACTGCGTGCCTTCGGTCACGTCCAAGGGGACCCATGGGTCAAAGGTCCCACTGCTCCGCCGCCCGGGACGCAAACTTCTCGTCGAATTTGTTCTTGATGCGGGACTTGTCGATGAGCCGGCTGGCCGCGAAGCGATTCTGCCACTGAAGGATGGTGGGCTCGTTTGCTGCTGGGCATTCGACGCGGACGAGCGATTTGCCGTCGAGGAGCACCTCCCCGCCGTCCTTGCGGTAGGCCCACCGGCCGGCGTTTGGGTAGAGCTCCTCGCACATGCGCTTGAGGTGCTTGGACTGGATCTCGGTGCGGATCTTCTTGGGAGAGCGGTCGGGGTTGACGTACATGGGCTCCACCCTATTGCCGTTGCCGTGCGCCGCCGCCGAGAAGGACCGCCAGCCGGTCTCGTTCTTGAGCTGCTTCGCCAAGGCGATCGACCTCGGGTGGTGGATCTCCACACCGCCGATGAGTTGCATGGTGAACTTGCGGCCAGGTGCTCCTTCGATGACCCGGATGCCTTCTTCTGGAACTCCGGCGGCTTGGAGCCACGGGGTGAGTCCTGAGCGGACGGCCTCTGGGGAGGTAATCTCGACGCACTGGATGTGGAACAGATTCGCCTTGCCTTTGCGGTCCCAATCGCGGAGGTCCGCGGCATCCATGATGGGGATCTCGGCCGTGGCCCTGGCGAGGGTGGCGTTGATCTGCTTGACCTGTTCCAGCGCGATGGCGGTGTCGGCCTCCGACTTGGCGACACGCTGGGTGAGCTCGGCGACGTCCCGATCGGTGGCGTTGAGGCGTTTCTCTTGCTGCTCGGAAGCTTCCTGTACCAGACGGGCTGCAGAGCGGGTTGCCGCGGCTTCGGCCTCCGCCTTGGCGAACGCCACGAACTCCTCCTTCGCCCCTTCCAAGATCCGTTTGCTATGTGAGAGCATCTGGTCCATGGCGGACTGCAAGACGCCCTCGATGCCAGCGGCCCCCTTGCCAGGTCCTTTGCTGGGTCCATCGTCAGCTGTCTTGGCGCCCGGGCCTCCCTTGCCATCGGCGGCGGGGGGGGCTCCTGAGGCGGGCGCGGCAGCGGCGGCGCCTCCACCAGAGGCCGTGGGGACGCTCTTCTATGGGTCGGCGTCCTGGAAGGGGTCGGCGGCTCCGCCACGAGGCGACTTGGCGGGCGGCGACGGACCGGTGCCCTCGCGCTTGGCGGGGCCGCCCGCTGCGCCAGACGCAAGACCAGCGCCAGGCCCAGTAGCAGCAGCCGCGGCGCCCGACATCGCATGCACAGAGTCAGAAAGCTGTAGGCCGCCTGCAGAGCCCCTGAGGTGGCAGGCTAGATGAAATTATGAAAGTTGTTTCCTTCTTGGCTTCTTGAGCCAAAATGGCTTGAGCCAAAATGGCTTGAGCCAAAATAGCTACGGAGGAGGAGGAGGAGGAGGAGGAGGGCGGAGGAGGAGGAGGAGGAGGAGGAGGAGGGGGAGGAGGGGGAGAGGTGGGGGGGGAAGGGGATGAGGAGGGAGGAGAGGGAGGAGGGGGGAGGATGGGGAGGAGGGGGAGGATACACCTGCTGCTCATCCCCCTTCCCCTACTATGTAACCGGTATTTGCCGTTGGGTCGGAGGAGTAGGATGAGGATGAGGAGGAGGAGGAGGAGGAGGAGGAGGAGGAGGAGGAGGAGGAGAAGGAGGCGGAGTGGGAGGAGGGTCGCGAGCCTGCTGGGCGTCGCTTCATGGGGGGGCGAGAAATGGGGGGGCGGGGGGGGGGAGAAAGGTGCACGCTTCAAGCCCTAAAAGACCCCTCTCCGGGCCAGAAAGGGCCCCTTCAGGGGCCCTACAAAGGGCCCCTGTTTTACAGCCCGCTTGAGTCCCCCCTCAACATTGCGCGACGCGCGAGCCTGTGGCGCCCGATTGGCTGGCCACCCTCCCCCCACCCTGACGGGGGGAACGTACGGCGGCAACTCATGGGAGCCTTGCATACCATCGTGTCGGCTCACGCTAGTTGACGCTAGTCGACGCTAGATCGACGCTAGATCGACGCTAACCGACGCTAGCCCGGCGCTAACTCATCAACCCCCAGACGCCAATCGACGCCAAAGACGGAATTAAACCAGGCTCCCATGACTTGCTACCGAATCCCCCCACCCTGAGGGAGGGAACGTACCCAGACGCCCTCGGGTCACAAAGCAATCACGACGGGAGGTGTTGCGCAGTCTTCGGCATCTGGGGTCCCTACTGGCCCTCGGGACCCTCAAACAAAAAAATCAAATCCTCTGGATAAAACACCGGTCCCGGGAAACGGGTCGAGACCTTTGGACATCGACGCCATGGAAAAAGCATGTCGTCGGGGGTCTGGTAAAACAGGGCTAGGATCGGGATAAATCGCTCCAGAGCGTTCCGGAGCGCTCTCAGAGCGTTCCGGAACGCTCTGGAGCGGCCGCGGCGCCCAATACATCCTCCAAACCCGCCGATTCTCAGCGATTTCGAGTTATCCCGATCCGATTTTGTCCCGATCTTCGCGTCGTTTGATCTGGGTAGGGGGGGGGCACCCAGATGGGGTCCGAGCGGGCGGGGTCGGAGGACCGCGCCGCATCGCCGATGCATCGCCGAGCCACGGGGCCGCATCGGCAGCCGCAGAGCGCGAGCCCGCGGGGCCCGCGCTCCGCCCGTGGCCGGCCACCCTGCCCCCACCCTGGCGGGGGGCAACGTGGAAGGACGACTCCTCCACAGGATCGCCTCTCCTCGGCGGACAGGAGCAAAAACCAAGGCGGAACCTAAACAGTGCTGTTCGTCTTCGTTCTGCTTTCGTCTTCGTTTTCCCTCGCTTTTTGTCTCGAGCCCACCTTCATCGCAAAACGAGGTCGAAACGAGAACGGCCCATGAAATGGCCAAAAACACCGTTTAGGCGTTTAGGCCCAGCCCTGAAAAGAGCGTTTCCCGGGCAAGCACGTGAGGTGAGAAAGATAGCGTTCCAAGAGCAAGTGCCCTCGACGTTCCACGAGCAGGTACGCGGGGCCCGCTCGCGGCCAGCCACCCTCCAGCACCCTGGACGAAAACGTCAGCAGAGGCCTCCCGGATGGGGTTCGCGCAGCATCGCCGATGCATCGCCGATGCATCGCCGGCGATGGCGATGCATCGGCGACGTGGGCGTGCGCGCCAAGGACGACGCCGGAGGCGCCGCCGGGGGGGAGGCTCAGCGCGGATCCCAAAAAATCCGCACGGAGCGCCAAAAGTTTATGTTCGCAGCGTTTTTTCTTCGTCGACTGGGGGGCATGGGACGGCAGGGCGATTCGAAGTTCGAGGCTGTCCGATGTTTTCTCGGCAACTTTCCAGCGAGCCTGGAGGGCCCCGCGGTAGCCGCCCCACCTCCTCCTCTGGAGGAGGAACGTCGAGGGCAACCATTGAACTCGAATCGGACGTTCTCGCCTGCGTTTGCGGGAGCTTTCGTGTGCTCTCGGCGGTCTCACCTTGAGGAGGAACGTTGAGGGCAACATTGGGTTTGAATCGGACGTTCTCGCCTGCGTTTGCAGGAGTTTTCGCGTGCTCTTGGCGGCTTTACAGCCTCGGGATGCCTTCCAGTAGCCGAGCCTCGCCGAGGGGCTCTCCGGGGGAGCCCGGACCGTCCCGAGCGGCCGCCGGAGACCCGCGTACGGTGAGGATCACTCGGAGGGACCAGGTCGGGGGGGGAGCTTCGAGCCGGAATCGACGATACATCGCCGATAGGCCAGGGTCGAACAGCGGAGCGACAGCCTGGCGCAGACTCCGTGGCAACAAGCGCAGGCCGGGCTCGTGCACCCAGTGCCGCCCCTTCCCCCTCCTGGAGGCGGAGAAGGAGGAGGGAGGCTGCAGCACGTGTAGGCGACCGAGGGTAACAGTTTTCGAACACGTGCGCTGGTTCGCGCCCCAGGATGCCATCCAGCAGCTGCGCCTCGCCGAGGGCGTGCTGGGGGTGCCCGGGTCGTCCTGAGCGGTCGCCGAAGCCCCGATGTACGGCCCGAAGGCCACTCGGCAGCGTCGACGACGACGACGCGAGCAAGGGCAGACGAGCAGACCCTGGCGAGGCCGAGGGGCGCTGAGGGCATGCTGCTCGGCGCGCGGGCCAAGGCTCATCCGATGTGCGGCTCGGCCGGGCAGATCTCTGAGCTTTGCTGCCCCCCCCCAACGCTTGATGGGAAGCTGGCGGCAGCCGCGCACCAGCCAGGCCTGTGCAAAGCCCTCGACTGGTGCACACATGCCCCTCCCAGAATCGGCCCAGCCAGGACTGGTGGTGTCAGGCTGCTTACCAGCTTGAGTCATATCCCTGTCCCTATGTGTGTCATCACCCTGCCTCGGTGCCGATCTTAAGGATCCCTTCAGTTTCCAAAGGTACATGCTTGTCAATCCCTGGTTTGCTGCCGCCCTGCGATCGAAGGACCAGGGGGGCATCGGGCTGTCGCCCACTGGCCCTGCCAGGGTCTGTTCGACTGCGCTCGTTCTGGCCACGCGCACGTCGGGGTGGAGGGGCGGCGGACCACGGCGGACCTGGGCAGCACGAGGAAGAGGTCCGCGTCGTAGCCCTCGCACATGCGCAGCAGCTCTGGGGCGACCCCCGCGCAGTCCTGGAGGAAGCGGGCGAGGCTGCGCACCGCGGCGAGCAGCTCTGGGCTGTCGCAGTAGCGCCCCCAGAGCCGCCAGCTCTCCTCCCACCGGGCTAGCCTGTCCACGAGCCCCGCGTTCTTGCAGAGCTGGGGGTGCACCTCGCCCATGCGGTGGCGCAGCCCCTGCAGGAACGAGCGGAGGTCCTCTCGGAATGCCAACAACACGCTGGCAACACGCAGACTGTCGGACTGTCGGAGGTCCGCGCGGACTGCTGGAGACCGGCGCTGGATTCGCCCCCTTCCCCGGCGCGCGAAGCGCACCTGGCCCTCCCCGGCGCGCGAACCGCACCTGGGGGCCGCCGAAGGTTTGTGCTCTCGCCGTTTCGAATTGTTACGTAGTTTTCTTCTTCGAGGCTGTCCCCCCTGCTCCTTTCCCTCCTCCTCCTTTCCCTCCTCCTCCTCCTCCTCCTCCTCCTCCTCCTCAGCAGCATCAGCATCAGCATCAGCATCAGCATCAGCATCAGCATCAGCATCAGCATCAGCATCAGCATCAGCATCAGCAGCAGCATCATCATCATCATCATCATCATCATCATCATCATCATCATCATCATCATCATCATCATCATCATCATGATCATGATCATGATCATGATCATCGTCATCATCACCACCACCATCGTCATCATCGTCATCATCACCACCACCATCATCATCATCATCATCATTTTCATCATCTTCATCTTCAGCATCAACAGCATCACCATCAGCATCATCATCATCGCAATCATCATCATCAGCATCATCATCATAATCATCACCACCATCATCACCACCACCATCATAATCATCATCATCATCATCATCATCATCATCAGCATCATAATCACCATCATTAGCGTCATCATCCTTATCAGCATCATCATCATCATCATCATCATCATCATCATAACTCTGCACTCTCCCACGCGATCCTGGCAAGACAATGCAATGCCCGCCGCGGCCTGGCGTGCCGCCGTGAAGCGGTGCCGCGACGCTGATGTGAGGCCACGGCACCTGGTGCTCATGCGATTTGATACTCGGCTGGTGCTGGTCACCCTCGCCCTCGCGAGGCCATCCCTGTGGGGGTCCCAAGTGAGAGGAGCTGTGAAGAGCCGCCCCTCGGAAACCGCAAAGGACTCACCGCACGGTCCGCCACCGCACTGTCTGGGGCTTTTGAGGCTCCAGCCGCCCGAGGCATCCCCAAACCGTGCGGTCGCCCCGAATCCCCTCTGACTCACCCGACTCGCGTTCGGTGCGATGGGAGCCTGTATGAATCAAGATGTGGACGAATTCGAAGCAAATGTCGGCAAACAGCAGCTACCCGCTAGCGGCATCTGACTGTGTGTCTGTGTGTGTGCGTGGGAGATGGAGGGTTGGGGGGGGGGTGCGTGTGTGCGTGTGCGCGTGTGCGCGTGTGTGCGTGTGTGCGTGTGTGAGTGTGTGCGTGTGTGGGTGTGTGCGTGTGTGCGGGGGCGCGTGTGCGCGTGTGTGCGTGCGCGTGTGTGCGTGTGTGCACCTTTGCGTGTGTGCGCTTGTGCGTGTGTGCGCCTGTGCGTGTGCGCGTGTGTACGCGTGTGCGTGTGTGCGTGTGTGCGCGTGTGCGCGTGTGCGTGTGTCCGCGTGTGCGTGTGTGCGTGTGCGTGAGTGCGTGTGTGCGTGTGTGCGTGTGTGCGTGTGTGTGCGTGTGTGCGTGTGCGCGTGTGTGCGTGAGTGCGTGTGTGCGTGTGTGCGTGTGTGCGTCTGTCCACATGTGTGCGTGAGTGCGTGTGTGCGTTTGTGCGTGTGTGCGTGTGCGCGTATGTGCGTGTGCATGTGTGCGTGAGTGCGTGTGTGCGTGTGTGCGTGTGTGCGGGTGTGCGTGTCGCGTGTGAGTGGTGTGTGCGTTGTTTGTTGTGCGTGTGTGCGGGGCTTGTCTGTTCGTGTGTGCTCGTTCGATTGTGCTGCGTAGTGTATCCTTGTTCTCGTTTCATTCAATTTTGGTGCGTGTGTGCGCGTGTGCGGCGTCCGTGTGTGCAGATATGTGCGTGTGTGCGTCTGTGCGTGCGTACGTGTGTGCGCCTGTGCGTGTGCGCCTGTGCGTGTGCGCGTGTGTACGCGTGTGCGTGTGCGCGTGTGCGCGTGTGCGCGTGTGCGTGGGTGCGTGCGTGCGTGTGTGCGACTGTGTGCGTGTGCGCGTGTGTGCGTGTGCGCGTGTGTGGAGTGTGTGCGTTGGTGCGATGTGTGTGTTGTGTGGTGCGTTTGTGTGCATGTTGTGCGTTGTGTTGTGTTGTGTGCGATTTGTGTGTGCGTCTGCCCGCGTGCGTGCGTGTGTGCGTGTGTGCAGATGTGTGCGTGTGTGCGAGTGCGCGTATGTGCGTGTGCATGTGTGCGTCTATGCGTCTGTGCGTCTATGCGTCTGTGCGTGCGTGCGTGTGTGCTCGTGTGCGCGTGTGCGTGTGTGCGTGTGTGCGCGTGTGCGGTGTGCGTGTGTGCAGATATGTGCGCGTGTGCGTGTGTGCGCGTGTGCGTGTGTACGTGTGTTCGCGTGTGCGTGTGTGAGCGTGTGTGCGTGCGTGCGTGTGTAAGCGTGTGTGCGTGCGTGCGTGCGTGCATGTGCACGATTGCTAGTGTGTGTGTGTGTGTGTCTGTGCGTGTGTGCGTGTGTGCGTGTGTGCGTGTGTGCGTGTGCGTGTGTACGTGTGTTCGCTGTGTGCATGTGTGCTTGTGCGTGCGGTCTGTGCTTGTGTAGGTGTTGTGTGCGTGTTGTGTGCGTAGTGTGCGTGCGTGCAGATGTTGATGATTGTGTGTGTGCGTGTGTGCGTTGCGTGCTGTGTACTGTGTACGTGTGGGCGTCCCTTCTGTGCGTGTGTGCGTGTCCGTCCGCGTGTGTGGTTTTGTATCATATTTCGATGTGTGCGTGTGTGCAGATGTGGCGTGTGTGCGTGTGTGCGTGTGTGCGTGTGCATGTGTGCGTGAGTGCGTGTGCGTTTGTGCGTGTGTGCGCGTGTGCGCGTGTGCTCGTGTGCGCGTGTGCGTGTGTGCGTGCTTGCGCGTGTACGTGTGCGTCTGTGTGCGTGTGTGTGTGTGTGCGTGTGCGCGTGTGTGCGTGTGCGTGAGTGCGTGTGTGCGTGTGTGCGCGTGTGCGCGTGTGCGTGCGTGCGTGTCCAGGTGTGTGCGTGTGTGCGTGTGTGCGTGTGTGCGTGTGCGCATGTGTGCGTGTGTGTGTGTGTGTGCGCGTGTGCATGTGCGCGTGTGCGCGACTGTGTGCGTGAATGCGTGCGAGCGTGTGTGCGTCTGTGAGCGTGTGTGCGTGTGTGTGTGTGTGTGGGTGCGTGTGTGCGTGTGTGCGTGTGTGCGGGTGTGCGTGCTTGCGCGTGTGCGTGTGCGCGCGTGTGTGCGTGTGTGTGTGTGTGTGTGCGTGTGCATGTGCGCGTGTGTGCGACTATGTGCGTGTGTGCGTGCGTGCGTGCGTGTGCATGTGTGCATGTGCGCGTGTGTGCGACTGTGTGCGTGTGTGCGTGCGTGCGTGTGTGCGTCTGTCCGCGTGTGTGCGTGTGGGCGTGTGTGCGTGTGTGCGGGGGCGCGCGTGTGCGTGTGCGCGTGTGTGCGCGCGTGTGTGTGTGTGTGTGCGTGTCTGCATGTGCGCGTGTGCGCGACTGCGTGCGTGCGTGTGTGCATGTGTGCGTGTGTGCGTGCGTGTGTGCGTTTGTACGTGGGTGCGTGCGTGCGTGTGTGCGTGTGTGCGTCTATCCGCGTGTGTGCGTGTGTGAGTGTGCAGATGTGTGTGTGTGTGCGTGTGTGCGTGCCTGCGTGTGTGCGTGTGTGTGTGTGTGTGCGTGTCTTCGTATGTGCGTGAGTGCGTGGGTGCGTGTGTGCGTGTGTGCGTGTGTGCGTGTATGCACATGTGCGGGTGTGCGTGTGCGTGTATGCGTGTGTGCATGTGCGCGTGTTTGCAACTGTGTGCGTGTGTGCGTGCGTGCGTGAATATGTGCGTCTGTGTGCGTGTGTGCGTATGCGCGTGTGTGCGTGTGTGCGTCTGTGTGCGTTTGTGCGCGTGTGCGTGTGTGCGTGCGTGCGTGTGTGCGTGTGTGTGTGTGTGCGTATGTGCTCGCGTGCGCGTGTGCGTGTGTGCGTGTGTGCAGATGCGCGTGTGTGTTCGTGTGTGCGTGTGTGCGTGTGTGCGCATATGCGTTCGTGTGTGCGTGTGCGCGTCTGTGCGTGTGTGCGCGTGTGTGCGTGCTTGCGTGTGTGTGTGTGTGTGCGTCTGTGTGCGTCTGTGTGCGTCTGTGTGCGTCTGTGCGTGTGTGCGTGTGTGCGTATGCGCGTGTGAGTGCGTGTGTGCGTCTATGCGCCTGTGCGCGTGTGTGCGTGTGTGCGTGTGTGCGTGTGTGAGTGTGTGCGTGTGTAGTGTGCGTGTGTATATGTGTGCGTGTCTGTGTGTATGTGTGTGTCTGTGTGCCTGTATGCCGGTGTGTCTGTATGTGTTTGTGTGTGTCTGTGTGTGTGTCTATGTGAGTGTCTATGTGTGTCTGTGTGTGCCTGTGTGTATGTGTGTCTGTGTGTTTGTGAGGCTGTGTGGCTGTGTGACTGTGTGGCTGTGTGTGTTTATGTGTGAGCGTGTGTGCGCGTGTGTGTGCGCGTGTGTCCCACCATTCCTTTGGGCGAAGGTGGTGTGACGATACCTTCCGATCCTCGTCCAAAACTCTCTTCCCGTCGGGGTGGGGTACGCTACCCCTCCCCTCCCTGAGGTTGCTTATGGGGGTCCGCGAGGTGTTAGGGCGCCCAAGACGGCCCAAGATGGCTCCAAGAGGGCGCCCAATGCTCCAAAATGGTCTCCAAGATGACTCAAGACAGCCGACGAGAGTTCAAGATAGCTTCCGACATATCTCCAAGAGGCCCCGCGATGGCCACAAGACGGTTACAAAAAAGTCTCGGAGCCCCTCAGGACCCCCCCAAGAGGACAGCATCGCTCAAAAGAAAATCAATGAGTGGTGCTTGCTCGCCTTTCCGCGTCCGATGAGCTTGTGAGGCCTCAAGATGGCCCCAAGATGGTCCAAGAGAGGTCAGATAGGGGCCCAGGAGCCGCCCCCCCCTCCCCAGACGGCCCTAAGAGCGTCCAAGAACGGCACAAGAGCACCCCAAGAGGGCCTCAAGAGGCGATGCTGATTGCCCAAGGTGGGACA